ACCTGGTTGCTGCTCCCACAAAAGTTCGGCGTGCTGGATGTAAACAAACGCCAGGCGCACCTCACGTCACTTCCGAAGCGTCGTTGATTGGTTGAGCCGTTGGGCGACTCGGCGACAAATCGCAAAATCCGGTCTGGAAGCGACTGCTCCAAACCTGTCCGACTTGCGACTGTGACTTTTGCGACAAAAGTTGTCGCGCGAGTTGCCAGTGTGAACGGGCATATCACTACTGTGTGATGCAAGTTAAAGACCCCAGGCTAGCAGTGGTATACTGCACTACTAAATTTCTCATCTCCAGTGGAGGCGCCAGGCACTCATTGGGGCTGACTAAATTTCCACTGTTTAAACAAGCACGATCACATTTTCTTCCTCATTGGAATGATAGTAGTTTGTTTATTGTATATTACCTTTTGCACAAGATGGTGTGAAGGTTCCTCCTGTTCCCATTCTGTTTCCAAGGAGGAAAGCATTAATTCGTTCATTACTCCTTTAAAAGCTCTATACTCACGGTCATATTACATGGTACATGGTAAACATAAACAGAACTATCAGGTTGTCTACAACCAATAGTGCTACTGTCTTAGGCAACAAAGGAATATTAATATCATGAGTCAGTGTTGCACCAAGGTGTTTATAAGGGAAGAGTTTTGGTCAGTTCAGAGACAATGAAATATTGCATGGCTGTGCATTTCCAAGCAAAGTGAACCAGTTTACTTGATAGAAACGGATGATTTAGTAGGTAAATTATTGATAAATTTAAGCAACAGTAATGGATGTAGTACCAATCCCTGTGAAACCCCAGAATTACTGGCACATTTTGGCCTCGGCAGCCCTTGTGCCGTAAAACCACAATGCATAACTACCAGGCCGTGGTGAACTGACAACTGATCAATAATACTACTCTAAACAAAATAACTTGCCCCGCAAAAGCTAACAGTACGACTTCTAAAATAGTTTTGGTTGTTCATTTTTATGGTTCCTGCTTACAAAGGCTGGTTCACACATTTCTGTACGAACGTGACCGATTATGTTGACATTCAGCCATTTAATTCAGCAATCTACTCCTCCTTTCCACACAACACATACTCAATTGAGACATGACCGCCACCACCCTACCCTGATTTTAGTTCACAAAAAATATGTTCGACTTCTGCTCTGAAACTTCACAGGGATCCACGATGATAAACTTTCGTCCTATGCTTTTCTAGGCATGCAGGCAGTGTTTTACAGCTCGCTGAAGTTATTTTGCGTCTTAATCGACTACACAAGCCAGATTATTCGGCGAAACAAAAACACATCTGGTGGTGGCCTCTATTCAAAGTCAGCACGTGCCGGCGATCGAGCAGTCGGCACCTGTGCAACTTTGGAGAACAAGTATAAGTGGTTTCACACACCACTTTCATAAAACGTATGCTTCTCGTCAAAGCTGAGCAAACACTGCTCTCTGGCAAACATTTGCCAGAGAGCAGTTATGATGTCAATGTTATGATGTTATGATGTTATGAGATGTTGATATGAGATGAGATGTTGATGTTGATATGATTCTTCTTTTTTGGTTATCCTGTTGACCTTGTTGTTGTTGTATCTTGTTGACCTGTTGACAAAAAAACAAGATGATTCTTGTTTTTTTGGTTATCCTGATGACCTTGTAGACGTGGAAATGTGTTCAAGTGATTCGCCATTTGGAACTGTAAGGACATAATCTTCAGCAGCTTCGTTTGAGACTGTAGGGAAATAGTTTTCAGCAGCTGTATTCGTTTCTGCTGTTCCATGTGCTTCTTTGGTGTGGTACCGGCTGCGCCTGTAAGTCCTCGATGTGTTTCTGCTGCTGCTTGTCCTGGTTTCACTTGTTCTCCTCGGCACGAGACTGTTTCAAAAGGGACTCGTACCACCGGGAGAGTTCCTCTATTTCGACTCGGCTTGCTGGTGCCTCCAAAGTTCTCGCTGTACCCCCTGTGCCCTCGGTGACATGTTCCATCGAGGCCTCCACTTTTTTGTTTGGCGCCCGTACCAACCGTTCTTCAGCCTTGAGATGCTTGTCTTTGAGCAGGCGAAAGCGTTCTTGCAACTGCTGATTTGCTTGCCACAGCTCTTGCAGCTCCTGCATGGTCTTTTGTCCCACGGCGCCCTGCTGCTCCGCGAAGACTGCGATATCTCGTCTGGCTGTTGCCCACTCTTTTGTGAGCTGAGCGCACCTGTCCTCCCAACTGCGTTTCACTTGGGCTGCCGCGTGAAACTCTTCCTGCAGGTTCCTGTGTCTGTATACAATGTGGTTATAGTTGTCCAACAGCTAGGAGTGGTCTGTCTTCAGCGCTGATAGTGCTGCCTCACACTTGACCGCTTCGTCCAGCGCAGTGCAGTGCTCTTTCTCCATCTCCTTGGTGGCCTTGACGTGCTGCTCGCGCTGAGTCTTCAACTCCTCCTCGAGGCATTGTCGTGCCTGTTTTAAGTTCTCAGCTAGCTGTTGAAAATGTTTGTTGTCCCCCTCCAGGCAGGAAAGTTCTCACCACAAAATGTCGGCTTCGCTTTCTAGCTTTCCGTTGCGTTTTAGGAGGCTGCTGACTTTCTCGTCTAACCTCTCGCACTCAGTTTCTGCCTTCTCGGTAAAGGAGCTTCCGTCTGCTTCCGCTTGCGACGAATTGTTACACTTAACAGCATTCTCTCTCTCTCTCAAAAGTCTCCGCCACCTTTTCGTGTCTCTGCTGCCGGAGGTGACTTTCATTGGACAGGCATCTAATTTTTTCACTCGCATCTTTACAAGATGATTTCCACTGCTGACTTTCTTGAGCGAGGAGCTCGTTCCTAACTGTCAAGGATGTGACCCGTTCCTGAAGCACTGTCAGCATACGGTTCAAGTCTTCCAGCTGACTTGCTTCAAGAGACACTGCAGCTTCTGACGACTGGTTGGTGTGCTCGATGATGCTCCGGACAAATGCTTCGATGATGCTCCGGACGAATGCCCCGAGATCTTGTAACGGCCACTGGTACCGGTCCTTTAAGTACTGATAGTTTTGCTGAAGTAGATTGAACTGCTCCTCTTTTTTAGCAAGCTGGTTTTCCAGGGCCTCTCTCTTGCGTTTTGCGATGTCTAGCAGCTTCTTGAGGTACTGAAAGGCACTGAACTCTCGTTGTTCGGAATCATTCTGAACTAGCGGCAAGTCCTCGCCACAGTCTTGAAGAAGGACATCCTGCAAGATGCAGTACTCGGCAGAAAACCTTTCGAGCTCAAGCTGAGATGCTTCAAACTTCTCCTTCAGGGTGTTCGCTTCCTCCACCTTGGCATCTACAAGCTCCAGCTGCTTTGACAAATCCCCACTTAGAGAAACTAACTGGGCTTTCAATGCTTCAGACTCCTGATACTTGGCATGAGAAAATTCTGCTTGCTGCGCTTGCATCTTCCCTAGGAGAGCCGAAGCTGCCTTGCACTCGCGTTGAAGGGCATGCTCACGGCCAAAGCTCACTTCGATATTTCTGTCGTGCTCCAAAGACATTCGCTGCATTTCTGCCGTTGCCAACACCAACTCTGAAATCAGGCCTTGTCCCTCTTCGGGGCGAGATGCCAGCATGCCCTTTTTTTTCTTTGACCGCCTCTCCAGCTCTGTTCCAGTTTGCGCAAACTTGGTTGCTTTGGTTGATGGAAGAGGCCCAATTGTTATGCCTCCCAAATGGATCGTTTCATTGCGGTCATTGTTCATGGATGAGTTGGAAGTTTCTTCTACTGCAGAAACACGTCGATATCCGTAGGTTTTCTGCTGTGTCTGGTTGCACATTCGGAAAAAATGTCCATAATTTCCACACGAAAGGCAGTGCTTTCCGTAAGCTGGGCAGTTTCGGGGTTGATGGTAAGTACCACATCTCGAACATGAAATTTGCTGTCGGTTGCTGGATTGGTCTTTTTGTGGTCCGGATGGTCGGTAACTTCGTTGCGCTGCTCTGAAGCTAGATGGCTGACGATAGAGTCCATCAACTCTAACTTCGTCTTCAGTTTTCTGAATATCATTCACGTGTTTTTTTGAGATTTCAGCTGCTTTACAGGTTGAAATGATTTTGTCTAGGGTAAGACTCGGTTCGCGAAGCAACCGTTCGCGCAAAGCCACGTCTCGTATCCCAATGATGATACGATCACCAATGAGCCTGTTTTCTTGAGCTCCGTAGTCGCATTTCTGAGCCTGCAGTTTTAGCTCAGTTACAAATTCGTGAATGGTTTGTTCTGGCTTTTGGCACATTGTGTTAAAAATGGCTGTTGCTTGTGTCACGCTTTTGTAAGGTGCATAGAGTTTATCAAATTCGTGCGGTATGTAATCTACTGCATTCTCTCTTTGCCCGCTTTGACCATCTTCTGTTGGTTGCAGAGAAAAGGTTTGCGTAATTCGTCTTGCCTGAGGTCCAAGGCAGTGGAGCAGAAAAGCTTTCCGAGTTGCGATAGGCTTCGATCCATATTCACAGGCTGCCTCGAAGATAAGGTACGATGACTTCCACTCCTCCCATGCTCTTGCTGGGTCGTCACCAGGATTGAACGGAGCCGGCGGTTGTAGGAAAGCAGATGCCATATTGTTGTCGCTGTTGCTTTTTAAATTTAAAATATGGACGTTGAGCTGCTCACCACTTCTGACACCATGTTATGTTGCTGGTTAAGCTGAGGAGGACGGTTTAAGCAAACTGTTTAATAAATACATACGGGATTGTTCATCTCATATCAACATCTTTCATGAGATGTTGATATGAGATGAGATGAGAATGAGAGATGTTATGGTGTCAATGAGGCTTTCTGATCTTAGAAGAGGACATTCAGTGAGCACGCTCGCAGAAGGTGGCACGCGCTGACGCGTTTGGAACTGCCGAGCAATCGCCATAGCTGCGGCTTTCATCCGGTACGCTACTTATTAAACAGTTTGCTTAAACCATTCTCCTGCGCTTAACTAGCAACATAACATGGTGTCAGAAGTGGTGAGCAGCTCAACGTCCATATTTTAAGTTTAACAATCAACAGCAGCAACAAGATGGCATCTGCTTTCCTACAACCGCCGGCTCCGTTCCAGCCTGGTGACGACCCAGCAAGAGCATGGGAGGAGTGGAAATCGTCCTACCTTATCTTCGAGGCAGCCTGTGAATATGGATCGAAGCCTATCGCAACTCGGAAAGCTTTTCTGCTCCACTGCCTTGGACCTCAGGCAAGACGAATTACGCAAACCTTTCCTCTGCAACCAACGGGAGATGGTCAAAGCGGGCAAAGAGATAATGCAGTAGATTACATCCTGCACGAATTTGATAAACTCTATGCACCTTACAAAAGAGTCACACAAGCGACAGCCATTTTTAACACAATGAGCCAAAAGCCAGAACAAACCATTGACGAATTTGTAACTGAGCTAAAACTGCAGGCTCAGAAATGCGACTACGGAGCTCAAGAAAGCAGGCTCATTGGTGATCGTATCATCATCGGGATACGAGACGTGGCCTTACGCGAACGATTGTTTCGTGAACCGAGTCTAACACTGGACAAAATCATTTCAACCTGTAAAGCAGCTGAAATCTCAAAAAAACATGTGAATGATATTCAGAAAACTGAAGACGAAGTTAGAGTTGATGGACTCTATCGTCAGCCATCTAGCTTCAGGGCAGCGCAACGAAGGTATCAACCATCCGAACCACAAAAAGACCAATCCAGCAACCGACAGCAAAGTTCGTGTTCAAGATGTGGTACTTCCCATCAACCCCGAAACTGCCCAGCTTACGGAAAGCACTGCCTTTCCTGTGGAACATTTGGACATTTTCCCCAAATGTGCAACCAGACACAGCAGAAAATCTACGGATATCGACGTGTTTCCGCAGTAGAAGAAACTTCCAACTCATCCATGAACAATGACCGCAATGAAACGATCCATTTGGGAGGCATAACAATTGGGCCTCTTCCATCAACCAAAGCAACCAAGTTTGCGCAAACTGGGACAGAGCTGGAGAGGCGGTCAAAGAAAAAAATGGCATGCTGGCATCTCGCCCCGAAGAGGTACAAGGCCTGATTTCAGAGTTGGTGTTGGCAAAGGCAGAAATGCAGCGAATGTCTTTGGAGCACGAGAGAAATATTGAAGCGAGCTTTGGCCGTGAGCAGGCCCTTCAACGCGAGTGCAAGGCAGCTTCGGTTCTCCTGGGGAAGTTGCAAGCGCAGCAAGCAGAATTTTCTCATGCCAAGTATCAGGAGTCTGAAGCATTGAAAGCCCAGTTAGTTTCTCTAAGTGGGGATTCGGCAAAGCAGCTGAAGCTTGTAGATGCCAAGGTGGAGGAAGCGGACACCTTGAATGAGTAGTTTGAAGCATCTCAGCTTGAGCTCGAAAGGTTTTCTGCCGAGTACTGCATCTTGCAGGATGTCCTTCTTCAAGACTGTGGCGAGGACTTGCCGCTAGTTCAGAATAATTCCGAACAACGAGAGTTCAGTGCCTTTCAGTACCTCAAGAAGCTGCTGGACATCGCAAAACGCAAAAGAGAGGCCCTGGAAAACCAGCTTGCTAAAAAAGAGGAGCAGTTCAATCTACTTCAGCAAAACTATCAGTACTTAAAGGACAGGTACCAGTGGCCGTTACAAGATCTCGGGGCATTTGTCCGGAGCATCATCGAAGCATTTGCCCGGAGCATCATCGAGCACACCAACCAGTCGTCAGAAGCTGCAGTGTCTCTTGAAGCAAGTCAGCTGGAAGACTTGAACCGTATGCTGGCAGTGCTTCAGGAACGGGTCACATCCTTGACAGTTAGGAACGAGCTCCTCGCTCAAGAAAGTCAGCAGTGGAAATCATCTTGTGAAGATGCGAGTGAAAAAATTAGATGCGTGGCAAATGAAAGTCGCCTCTGGCAGCAGAGACACGAAAAGGTGTCGGAGACTTTGAGAGAGAGAGAGAGAATGCTGCTAAGTGTATCAATTCGTCGCAAACGGAAGCATATGGAAGCTCCTTTACCGAGAAGGCAGAAACAGAGTGCGAGAGGTTAGACGAGAAAGTCAGCAGCCTCCTAAAACGCAACCGAAAGCTAAAAAGTGAAGCCGACGTTTTGTGGTCAAAACTTTCCTGCCTGGAGGAGCAAGCTGAGATGCTCGTCAGCGACAACAAACATTTTCAACAGCTAGCTGAGAACTTAAAACAGGCACGACATTGCCTCGAGGAGGAGTTGAAGACTCAGCGCGAGCAGCACGTCAAGGCCACCAAGGAGATGGAGAACGAGCACTGTACTGCGCTGGACGAAGCGGCCAAGTGCGAGGCAGCACTATCAGCGCTGAAGACAGACCACTCCCAGCTGTTGGACAAGTATAACCACATTGTATACAGACACAGGAACCTGCAGGAAGAGTTTCACGCGGCAGCCCAAGAGAAACGCAGTTTTGAGGACAGGTGCGCTCAGCTCACAGAAGAGTGGGCAACAGCCAGACGAGCTCTCGCAGTCTTCGAGAAGCATCAGGGCGCAGTGGGACAAAAGACCATGCAGAAGCTGCGAGAGCTGTGGCAAGCAAACCAGCATTTGCAAGAGCGCTTTCGCCTCCTCAAGGACAAGCATCTCAAGGCTGAAGAATGGTTGGTACAGGCGCCAAACCAAAAAGTGGAAGCCTCGATGGAACATGTCACCGAGGTCACTGGGGGTACAGCGAGAACTTTGGAGGCACCAGCAAGCCGAGTCGAGATAGAGGAACTCTCCCGGCGGTATGAGTCCCTTTTGGAGCAGTCTCGTGCCGAGGAGAACAAGTGGAACCAGGACAAGCAGCAGCAGAAACACATCGAGGACTTACAGGCGCAACCGGTACTACACCAAAGAAGCACATGGAACAGCAGAAACGAATTCAGCTGCTGAAAACTATTTCCCTACAGTCTCAAACGAAGCTGCTGAAGACTATGTCCATACAGTTTCAAATGACGAATCTCTTGAACACATTTCCACGTCTACAAGATCAACAGGATAACCAAAAAACAACAAGAAGTCGACGCGTCGTGGTGAAGCCGCTACGATACAGAGACTGACAAGTGCCGCGATCGCCCTGCGTTATCTTCAAAAAAAGAAGAAGGGGGGCATGTTATGATGTCAATGAGGCTTTCTGATCTTAGAAGAAGAGGACATTCAGTGAGCACGCTCGCAGAAGGTGGCACGCGCTGACGCGTTTGAAACTGCCGAGCAATCGCCATAGCTGCGGCTTTCATCCCGTACGCTACTTATTAAACAGTTTGCTTAAACCATTCTCCTGCGCTTAACTAGCAACATAACAGGGCACAACTTAAAACAGGTCTATATCTTTCCAATTTTACTTCTTGAGCCGGCTCGCCAGGCTTCAAAATTCTACCAAAAAAAAAAAGAAAGAAAGGATGCTGAGTAGCTTTTATTCAAACGAACAAGGTAACTGGTGGAGAATGTTCACCAAACAATCTGTATCTAGTGAAATGGCATTTCCTTATGGCTTCCCACTACTATGAACCCTTGATTCCAACACTGACTCGTTTAAATATCATGTTTAAATAAAATTTCTCTCTTGATTTTAAGCTTCAAGTAAGAAACTATGTTGACAAGGTATGTTGATTTCCCTCTTAAGGAGTTTGATGCCAGAGCTCAGTTAATGCTCTTGCACACCGTTGTAACGAAAGGTTAAGCTGGGACCACATCGTAGAACCTGTGGATTAGATACCCAGCATTGTGGAACCTGTCCACCATACATGTTTGAAGAGTTGAACATGATGTGGAGATTCGGCATCCTCTCTGATGCACAGAAACATTGTCTTTCTTCCTAACTACTTTTGTGATCTACCAGGCATCGAATCGTCTCATCAGGGGACATGCCAGGTCAGCTTCAAATGTCCCGGAATAAACAAACGGGTACGTGCACTATAGAGCTTTATGTTTAATTGTGTCTCGCACCTCCGAGTTTGCGCCATGTTGCCATGGAATCAACTCACCTGAGTGATGCCCAATTCATGCCAACAGATTCAAGCACAATTAGAAAGGATAAAAATCAATTTAAGTATACAAACAGCCAAAACAATACAAGCATTGCAGCAGCACTCGGGCATTTATCGGCTACAGTAGTGCCTCTTCCGAGGACGGTAGGCTGCGGCAACTTGAGGCGGTGGCTCCTTGATGTCGGCCACCTTGAGAAACTGGCGGATGCACAGTCAGTTGTACAGACCGATCGAATTAAGCTGGACCCCCCCCCCCCCCCCCCCCCCCCCCCCCCCTCTCACCAACTTCCACCCAGAAGTGTTGGTCGAGGTAGGCCTTGTGGCTTCTCACCCTCTGTGTAGCTGTCTCTTCAGACTCCGAGGCATGCTTCATCACCTCCTTGATCATGGTGGGACTCGCACATACCCGATCGAAGGTGTCTGCGTAACGTCTGCCACGGGAGCCCGTCACGAAAAGTACCGCACGGTACAGCGTTGACCAGTTCCGACGTGTCAACTCCTGGAGCTGCCAGGTGACGAGTAAGTTGACTAGGAAGAAATTCATGTGAACCCGAAGCAAGTGGTCGTTGTTAAGCAGGTATTTTGGTAGAAGTTCCAGCAGTGGGCTTTTCTCGTTGTTCTTGGGGCATATGCTCAGTGACATGAGTGCAGTGTTAGCTTTTATGATCTGATGGACAAGGTCCCCCATTTAGGCTTTTCCGAAAGACCACTGCTTTATGTCCAATTCCAATATGCTTCTGTTGTGGGAGATTCCCTATAAAAAGGTATTGGTCGACTCCTCCGTGGTCTCAAACACAAACGTCGCTTTTCTCAGGGTTTTGGTGGATGCCAAGAAGAGCGCTATGCAAGTTGTATATAGCGTCTCCCTAGAGCAAGTCATCTCCATGAGCATGGAGAGCTTCCTAAGCTGATGGAAATTAACCAGCTGCTGCAATGCAGGAGGTGTGGAGACCTCGCTCCATATCCATAAGTACTGCGAGTAGGAAGGCTCTGGGTAACTTAGCACTTCTGCAAGGTTAGGAGGTTCATATCTGTTAGTATCAAACTTAACCATTGCCTCAGTCCCCGTCTCGTGCAGAATGTGGCAGGAGCCAGTTTCTAGGCAGTTGCAGATGTTTTGCAATGTGACTCGCTGAAGCGATTTGTTACTAGACAGGGCCTCCAAGAACCTTCGGTAGACATGTACGTACAGCGCCCTATAGTCGAACAGACGGCCCCAAATTTTACGAGGGGCTTGATAGCCGTGTGATTCAACTTCTTAAAATAGCTAAAGTACGCATCGAAAACAAAACCACAGAAAGAAAACACTGAGGTTTTGCAGTAGAACCAAGAAAACTCCGATCATTATTTTTGTAGTCGGTAACACGTACATTAGCTATACTTTAATAAGTTGTACCACACGGCTATCAATCCTCTCGTGAAAGTACCGTCAGATCGACGTTAGTGCGCTGTACGTCGAACTAAGTTTTGGGACGTATTATATTGGACAAAGGGTGTAAGAATACACCCTTTTTTCTGAGAGTACGATCGCACACTCCCACGATGCGCGTGTGTGTGTGTGTTTGTGCGTGCGCCCGTGTGTGTGTGTGTGTGTGTTTTAGCGCTTTCCTACGTGATCATGAACGAACTGGCCCAAATTGCCGCTTTAATGCGTGTTATTTGGAAGCCACGAGCCCTTTCCTACAAAAAAGAATCGCATAAGGTAGACCGCGTACCGATATACATTCCGTGCGCCGAGCATGGCACTGTTTAAGACCCGTGGAAGGAAGATATTCCAATTCAGCTTTCGGGACTTTAGCTCCGTAGTGCGATAACCTATAGCGTCGGAATTGGGATATGTCGTCAGCACATAACCCGCGGCCCTGTTTTACCATACTCAAGAAACGCAGACCTGCCAATGGAGTGGCAGGCTGCCTGGAAGGCCGTAATGAAGATAAAGTGGATGTGTCGGCAGCTTCTGTGGTGGTCTCGCAGTCGAGCCGGCGCCCGTCGGGGAAAGGCCGGAAGACTGTCATTACGCCCTGAAGCTTTCCCAGACGTCTTTGATTGGCGTGCAAGGGCAAACGGAGCGAAGGGCCACTTGGAGAAGCAGCGGCTATAGCGCCTCGCGCATTAGTACCGCAAGAGTCCCAGAGCCCCCAAAGGGTATTTTCGCGGTAAGAGGGAGGTCGCATGTGCACCACGAGAACCTTTGATTGCTAGCTCGAGGTAAAGTGGACTGCATTTATTAACTGGTCTCGAAAAAAGCCCGCGTCTACTGAGCTCTGCGTGATCCACTTCATGGGGACCAACGTTTGAGTCTGCTTGTATAGTTTACGTACCCGCGAGAATCGCAGAGCCCCTCCGGAAACCACATGGGGACTGTACCTGAGCGGGTGCTTCCACTGAGCCCACATACGGATATCCTAAGCCCGCTCTTCTACACTGCTTTCACCCTCGTCCTCATACTTGGTACCTTCGGCTGTGTGTCCATCCTACTCCTGGTCGCCTGGCATAAGCGTCTTCGGACGGTCTTCAGCTTCTACATCTTCAACGTGGCCTTGGCCGACCTGCTGCTCTGCTTCTCCGGGGTCCTGCTGTCTCCTACTTCGGCACTGTTGCGTGGGTGGCCCTTTGGAAACACCCTTTGCTACCTGTGCCGGTACGGCGAAAAGGTGGCGCTGTTTGTACATGGATACACACTCCTGGTGGCGTCCGTTCACACTGTCGTCACGAGTGCCCCTTCTGGAAGAGCTGGCCTCTTGGCTAACCTCAGCATTTGGATTTTAGGCCTCGTGCTGTGTCTTCCTTACGCGCTGTTCGTGGACATGCGCGTGCTGTCGGAGCGCGGTCAGTGTGTCGCGTCCTTGCCGGCTTCCGTCAAGGCACTGGAGCCCTTCGCGGCATTCGCTGTGCTCATCGCGTCTCCCTTCTTAGCTGCGTCTGCATGCTACGGATTGCAGCGATCGTTAGCGTGGCGGCGAGGTCGAACTGGGAAGGCGGATCAGCGACGTCGGGAGAGTGCGCGAGTGTTTTGGCTGATGTCACTGATGCTACTGCTTTGCTTCTGTCCGGTCTCCGTGGCCCGTGGCGTTGCGTTGCTCTGGATGCCGGCGCGACTCAATCCCTACATGAACATGGTCATTATGGCGACGCACGCCGTTGCTATGAGCATCGTCTGTTTCACGGTAGTCTTCTTCTTTTACCTGAACAGTAAGCACCTCGCGCACGAAGAAGCTAGGAGGGCGCCTTTGGTAACACCTAGCGACATTTGACAAGACCAATCAATAACTACGAGCGTTAATAAAACATTATAAGCATCTGTACTATAATGAAATGTAGAATTTTTATTTTGAAGGATCTCGAAAAGTTTTGAAAACTTATGTTAAATTCCAGGCTGTGTGTTAGCAAAATTGACGGTGGGAGGTAAATTGGATATAATTATACTCCTCTCTGAGTTCTTATTAAACACGCTCAGTGTCTCTAAGACGCAATTATCAGAGGAGAGAATTTTCGCTGAGCTGCCAAGTTTAAATACAAAAACGTTTTTTTTTTTGTCAAAATGACATTTCAAGGCATTAAAAAAAAAAAAAATGCGCACGGAGTGGTTTTTGAATTCTTTTTACTTCACACTCATCATGTCGCTACCGAAGTGAAATGCGGTAAAAGTCTCTCCCAGATGTTAAAAAAAATATTTATCCAATTATAATCGAGTTTCTTTAATTTCACGTGTGACAAAGTTTTAAAAGACTTTTTATATAGTAGGCTTATGTCACATTTCGAAGTAACTAAGTTTTTATCAGAGAACCAGCTTGGGTTTCGGTCATGATTACTTTACCGCAACTCAGCCCTTTGAGAGTCTGGATGAATTTGCAGGAGAGAAATAGGCAGACGGATGTTGTATTTTCAAATTTCGCAAATACCTTTTAATCGTCTGTCCCGTAAGAAACTTTCCGCAAAGCAACTCGTGCGGTGGTTAGAGATTTCTATTTTAGCAATTTGTTTGCCCATATGCTGAACCGGCCATCAAGGGCAGTCTCCAGAGGTTCATTTTGGGCCCCCTGTTCTTTCTTGTTTTCATAAATAACGCGTCCGTCATTAAAAAGAAAAAAAAAAGTGACTGTTTTTTTTTTTTTGCAGATGACGTGGTTTTTACAAATATAACACACATTGATGAGAAAGGTCATTTAAATACGTCTTTCTACAATTTATCAGTGGTGTAACAACTGGCAAATGTTAGTTCAAAGTGTGTGTGTGTAACACGCATTGTAACCCGCAGAAAGGATCCTTTGCAATTAGACTATATGATACAAATAACACTCCAACACAAACTCTTTAATAGTAATAGCCACACTGTTTAATGCCGCACTGTGATGTTCAATAATGTGATGTTTAATGTTTCATAGCCGCACTGCTTATGAAGAAAACCCGAGGGTTCGCTTTTCCGCCAGCACGCAGATTGCCAACCATCGCGATCGGCAGCATGATTCCTTCGGTTTACAGGACAGAGATAACGTCTTCGCGCAAAGATGCCATCTGCGAAAATTGCATTTGAATGGAGAATCGTGTTCTCGATCTAGTTATTCGCTATGGTATTTATGCTCAACGCGATGATTGGCTGTATATGTGTTCTGCGGGAAAGCAGACCCACGGGCTTGTTCATGAATACCGCGGCTATTACTCGAGTAAATACGGTAGTTAGTTGTCATAATCACTTCAAATTTGAGTTGAAACAGATTAAGTATATTGTATTGTTAAAAAGACAACCGCAAAAGCTTACTGAAGCCACTGCTGAAGCAATGCAGAACCAAGCTTGCAATCTATATCGTTTGCCCTTCTTCAGAATATTGGCATGCTCCTTGGAACTACGTAACAAGGATTAACGTCGAACGACTCTATAGGGAGTACAAAAAGGACTTGTGCTTTGCTTATAAGAAATAAAAAAGAAGGATCTCGTTTGCCTATTCGAACATTTTCTAGAGCAATCTGGCCTTCTTGAGATCCGTCGCAGAAAAGCGTTTACACAGCAGCGTGCCTAACTCATTCCGCCTTTCGTTCAACCTGTTTATGTGATTTGATACATGTCGTCCAACGCGCCATGAACATCCTAACACAGTTGTTACTGTAGTATATCGTTTTAAAACTGGTCTTTAAAAAATATTTTTTAAATATTGTTATATTTTTAAAAGTAACTTTTTAAAAACTGTTTCACACTATTTTTCAGCGTTTTATTACCGAATAAAGCAGTCTCCCGCTAACATTACTAATGCCTTGTCTTTTTCAAAATTTAATACAGCACCACGATGTAAGTTTTTATATTCACATTCCTAGTTCTTGTCGTTTTTGTTCATTTGTTTACGGTCGGAATTAATAATATATTCGTACGCCCTCTCATGTCTTGGCTGCCAAGTGGTAACGGTCAATTTGCATAAAGAAATAAATTTTATGGCTTCTGGAGAGATCTCTCTTGTGTCCAAGTGTTTTCTCTCAAATTGAACTGCACTTTTGCGCCACTTTCACATAGTCTTAGTTCGAGCCACATGACACATGATACTGCGATTTGCCCATTCCAATTTTTTGCCTTTGTTTACCAAATCGCTTGGTCGCACGGCTATCTAGAATTCACCCAGAAGTTCTGAAACAGTAATTAAATTGCGCAGTACTGCATATAACTTGTTTTTATAATTATTTTAAGTTTTCTAATAAAAAATTGAAAACGGATATTCTTTTTGAAACATTGGCTAAACTTTACAAACGCCTCCCAGACGGTCCTGTACTGAGCGACCTGTTAACTTGATTTGAAAGGGACGGCGGGGCTTCTTCAAAGTAATAATAAAAGTTAGGCGCTGTTTCCCGAAACAATCCAAACAACTGCTCGAATTGTGTCGGTATTGTCGTCTTGTGGGATCCAATTGCGCTTAGTGTTACAAAGAAACGTTTTGTTTAGGCACAGGGAGGGCAAACGGGTTTCTGGTCAAAATGTCCAACGAGACGAAATGTCCATCAAGTCAAAATGTCCAATAGGCAACGTGACACCCGTGTTAAAACGTCCATCGAGACGAAATGTCCAATTGGGTCAAAATGTCCCTCGAGTCAAAATGCCCATCGAGGCGAAATGTCCAATCGGATCAAAATGTGCAACGAGACGAGATGTCCCCACGAGACGAAAACTTCATCCACGTCGAAGTGCTTGGTAACCGGGCTAATACTCACCGGACAGAAGCTCACCGGGCAAAATAAAACCTGACAAAAGCTCCCCAGTTTTTCACAGGACAAAACAAAAGCTCACCTCTTTTCTTTTCTTTTTTTTTGCTACCGGGGCGAAACACGGGCTGGAATAAAGTGCGGATGCGGTGGACATTGCACCATTTTTAGGAGAACTGGTACACTATCCTATGCAAAAGTGTAGGCAGATAAACCATAACAGGCAGAGAAGCAACGATTTGGGACTAAAATTTAGATCACCGAAACTGAGCGGAGCTGATAAGATCAAGCTTGCTTGACTCGTGGTATGACAGAGCACCCTTGTGCCACGCCCAAGAATCTTCGTGAACCGAAGTTTTTGAACCCGTAGAGTGACCGAAGGAGCGAAGTCATCCTTCGGTGACCTCGCTTTTTCATTGTGCTGCTTTCACGCTAAACGCCCACATAAAGGTTAGACACAGAAGAGAGTTTTCGTAGACCGCGTTTCCCCCTCCGCTAAGCCCTCCGCAACCCGCTACGATACTCGGAACTCTACAGTCAAGGGGCGCAGGCGCAGTAGCAACTTCTTCGTTGCGGAGGGCTTTGCGGAGGGGGAAATGCGGTCTACGAAAACTCCCTAATAGGGAGTTTTCATGCGCCTGCCAGATTTAATTTATCGTTGCAGTTTAGTATCGCACCCATGCACCTAAGTTGTCCCCACTCGTGTTAAGGTCAACGTGAAATTTTCTCCTGGTGTGCTTTTGTCCGGATCTGTGAAAAAAATGAGTTAGCTTTTGTCCAGTGAGCTCTGTCCGGTGAGCTTTTGTCCGGTTAGCTTTTGTCGGGGATTCAAAGTGCTGAATCCTGGGTGAATGACTGCCCACACTTCTCTGTAGTGCCTTCGGGAACTTTGTTTAACACAAAAGGCGCTAAATTCTTTCGTTTTTTCTTTCGTCGGCCAAGGTCAGTGCAGGCACAATTTTGTTCCAAAGATTTTTGCCCAGCGGGTCCGATCGGCCGGTGACCCTGTTTAACACAAAAGGCGCTTCTCGGTACGACAAGATTCGACCAGGTTTGCGCACGGTCTGCCAAGTTTTTTTATGTCCGTATATTGCATCGACAGAGTTGCCAGCATTGGTGCGCTCCCAGTCTCAAATTGAACTGACTAACGGCGCTTAAAAAGGCGAAATTATTTTTGCATTCGTGGAATAAACAGACTTGTATTCAACCACGTGTCATTTTCAATCCGTTCAATGGTGTACACACTCAGTATGGTGTTGTATTTACGTTAAGAATATTTATTATGAAAGTTCTTGCAACCCTGTCTAATGTTGCTTATATCAAGTATGATCGAGTCAGGTATGAATGGCAATTAACGCGCGAAAAACTGTGGGAGGCACAAAATAAGCCGACCCCTGTCCCATGCCTTCTGACTTTAAGTCTGACGAAGGTGCAGTCGCCTGTCCCCTTTATCGTGGGAGGAAGCTAGGCTGGCAGCGAACAAAGTGTGCAGCGCCGTATCTGCAGCATGCTGGATTTCTTCGTACATACTGTATGTACTCCCTCTGTCCGGGGGAAAGAATCGGGCTGGACGACTAAAATAAGGTGACGAATGCATGCAATAAATAAAATATGACCGTTTCTTTTTTTTTTTTTTCTTTTTCGTTCGTGTCTTTGTGCACTTTTCATTCGTTTTAGTTATGAACCAACTACACTCTAAGAAATGCCAGGGCGTCTACTTACCCACCAAACACTCGAAGAGCCACTCTCTGCGATCTACAAAATCAGCTCAGCGAATGATGAGACGGAACATCTGTTTAGACCTAAAAATGAAGTCTGCGCTGTGGCATCACGCAATGCAAGCATGACGTTTTGCATTGCGTAATGCCACAGCGCAGACTTAATTTTGAGGTCTAAACAGATGTTCCGCCTCATCATTCGCTGAGCTGATTTCGTAAACCGCAGAGATTGGCTCTTTGAGTGTTTGGCGGGTAAGTAGACGCGCAGGCATTTCTTAGAGTGTAGCTTATCCAAAGATTTAGTTGGGGCTATTTTATTTTTGCTTCACCTTATTCTGAATACAAATTGTTAT